ACTGGGGGGTCTCTGAGCCAGTCCCATTCCCTCAGCCTAACCTACTTCAGAGGGTTGTTGTGATTATAAAACGGGGAAGGCAGAACGACGTCCACTACTCTGAGCTCCTTGAAGGAAAGAGCAGTTTAAAATGTCACTGGTCATGAGCTGGTCGGTGGGAACCCATAGGTCCACCTAAGGTAGCTTGCAGAACCATTTTCTTGCAGTTGCTTTTAAGAGAGGGGAAGAGTAAGAGAAGGAAAGCAATCGACTTATAAGCTCTCTCTAGGCCTCTGTTTTCCTATCGGGAGAATGTGCACATGACATTTCTTTCTGTTATGCAACAGTTAATGACACTAGAATCATGTCAGATGACAGACAGAAACCCTGTCAGGTACAAATATGGGCAGTTATTGAACATATGCAAAGTTCCTTCCCTCCACTACTGAGTAACCACACCCCTCCCACACGCATATTTGAGATTAATGGCTTCTGGATCAGAGGGTGTGATTCCTTTCAGGTCTTGCGGGGCCCTGCTCTCTCAGAAATTAAGCATCATTACCAACAAATAGTTGCTAGCACTTCAAAGGAAGCATTAGCAATGTAAATCACCAAGCCACATTTGGAAGAACTAAAAATAGCTTGGCAGAGGAGCCAATCTGTATTTTCAAATGAAAGATCTCATTATACTGTCTTGGACTGGACAATTATTTGGTATAATGGAGGGAGTGTCTGACACTTGGACCAGGAAGACCCAAGTTCAAATTCCCGCTTCTCTTAATGGGTCACCATGGCCCACTCTCTCAGTCTCAGCCTCATCTAGTGCACGGAGCTGTTGTGGAAGAGAAATGTGGCTCCGTGCAGGATAAAAACATTAAAAGAGGAGGAGGAGCAGGAGGAGATTGGATTTATACCCTGCCATTCACTCAGAGTGGCTCACAAACCCCTTTCCCTTCCCCTCCCCACAACAGACACCCTGTGAGGTGGGTGGGGCTGAGAGAGCTCTGACAGAAACTGCTCTTTTTTCAAGAACAACTCTTAACAGAACTATGGTTTGCCCAAGATCATCCAGCAGCTGCAACTGGAGGAGTGGGGAATCAAACCCGGTTCTCCCAGATTAGAATCCATGCACTTAACCACTACACCAAAGTCAACATCGTCTTTAAAAAACATTATAGTAGGACATGGCCTCCTGCAGCAGTGAATTTTTTTTTAAATGTCCATGTATGTCCTTTGTTTGTCTGTTAAAAATGTGCCCCTTCAGCCTTCTTATCTGTCTCTTCAGCCTAAGAGTACACAGAAAGCCTTCACTCAACATTTGACAATGAATGCATGACACGTGTACAAACAACCACTTTTTTTTGTCAACGTGCGCTCTTTTTGCTGTCAGTGACTTCCATTTTTCCCCCCATCAGATTTTTTCTTAATTAGCTTAACCCCTTCATTTCTCAGATAATTGCTGCATCAGGAACTCTGGTTTCTGAAAGATGTTCCAGGGTGACCAAGCTCATTAAATATACTTACTGCTCTGCTATTTTCATATTCATTAATGAGTTTTCATATCAAGGCATAACTTTGCCTGCTAACATGTAATTGCATATTTCCTTGTGTATTAAAAAAATACTAATCACAGTTCTCTAGATTTTCTCTACTTTATTGTCAGCTTTGTGAAAGCCTTCCTCTTATTTGGGTTTGCCCTTTATTCAGACGAATTTTTACAGAACTCTACAGCTACATATACACTTCATCAGGGCCACAATCTCTCAGAGCATTCAAATGACACTACATAAATTTTGTGCAATGGGAAGTGAACACCTTCTGTTCAAAACCCCATTCGTCTTTGAAGCAAACTTTGTCGCTTTAGGAAAGTCCTTCCCTGCTAGCCTAACCTACCTCATAGGATAGCTGCAAGAAGAAGAAGAGATTGGATTTATACCCTGCCCTTCACTACCCAAAGGTGTCTCAGAGCAGCTTACAAACTCCTTTCCCTTCCCCTCCCCACAACAGACACCCTGTGAGGTGGGTGGGGCTGAGAGAGCTCTGACAGAAACTTCTCTTTTTTCAAGAACAGCTCTTATCAGAACTATGGTTTGCCCAAGGTCATCCAGCCAGGTGCAAGTGGAGGAGTGGGGAATCAAACCCAGTTCTCCCAGATTAGAGTCCGCGCACTTAACCACTACACCAAACTGGCTCTCCAAATGGATAAAATGGACAAAATGGACAAGCTCAAAGGGAGGAAACAGACGTTATGTATAAATCGTGTGCTAAAGTAAATGCTGTTCCTTTTGCAATGGATACATAATCTATACTGCAATCCTATGTAAATTTACTTAGAATTATATCCCGCTGGAACTAATTCCCAAGTTAAGTGTGCATAGGATTCCATAGGTAATCAAAAAGTATTTGCAGGTAAAGATGTAATACTAAAACATAGTGACTGGAAAATGAACAAAGCAGGACTTAACTTCAAGCAAGAATTTTTATTACTGAACTCTTACACGATTCCTCCATCCTGGCTCGCAATGGCTGATTTCCACTGAGAAACACATTTCTCATGTTCTGTTTTATTGGGAAATATCAGATGGGTTTAATGTTCCTTTCTTCTTCCTTCCCTGAATTCTAGCATCAGGGTGACCACTGAGCGACTAGCAGTTTTCCAAACATATGGACAGGGCACCTCCAACTCTGTTAATGCAACTGTTGTCGCATAACCCCCTTTTTCTGGAGATGTCTTCCCAAGGAAACTCGAAAAAGATCTGTGGATTCTGTTTCTAGGGTTCCAGAATAGCCAAGGTCCAGGAGCAGAATGAGGTGGCAGAATTCTGGAGCGCATCACTTTGAGACGGCAGGCAGGGGGGGATCATATTTTGTAGTGTCTCCCCACTTTGGAAGGGAAAATAGGCAGGGAGCATCTATATGGAGCAAGTGTTCAAAAATATGCTTCCCCCAACATGTCTGAGGTGGTACACTCCACCATTTTAACACCCCCACCCCATTTTTTTAATATATATATTTTTATTTTTCAACGTAACAAAACACCCCAATTCTGAATGGCAGTTCTACTACTACTTTTTAATACTGTATACTTGACATGTGAGGCTCATCCACCTGTATTTAAAATATATTCAGCTGGGAGAAAGGGATATTTCAGTTAATACTTATATATGTTCCACTGCTACTTATCTGCTTGGCTTATTATACTGGCAAAAACAATCAACTCCTATGACAAACTGATTCAGCTGCCAAAATGTGACCTGTGAATAACTTCTGTCTGAGCAGGTGATGAAGTCTTTTTGAGCTATGTGTTTGTGCAGGAACACACAGTATTTTAAGCACAGATTGTGTATATCTCTTATTATCCAAGATGGTTTTGCCCTACTGCATTCCATGCTGGTCAAATTTCCAACATGGGAGACCACCTCCCAATAATGAGGAACGCACACCGGATTTCTTTTGCTACAAGCTCTTATGTAGGGAGACCACCGTGCGTTCCCCGCATGCGTGCTCTTTTAGCATGGACATGAAGATGATCTTTGTGTAGGAAAAATGTCACGTGCAAAGCTGCCCCTGTCACCAACCGAGTACAGTTTCACACTGCCAGACACAAGCCCGACAACTTCAAGGTGTGCTATGATCTGTCGACCAAGAACATGCTTCTCTATTATGATCGTTATGTTGCAAAACTGGCCAAACTTGTAAATTATAACCATTTACCGGAATTCCTCATGATTATGCTCAAGCTGGGCCTCTTTCCCCCTCCACTGCAAAGCTATTTTTGATACACCTTTAATAAGGAGATAGTTCAAAGTGACGCTTGCTTATAGTAAACTCCACAATTGCCTTTTGTTAATCAATCATGCCAATACCATGACTGCACTCTCAGTGGGCTGCTTAATATATCCACACTAAGACTTAACAGTAGTTTGTCATGTTTTATTGGTAAGTTGACAGCAGGGGGCAAGTCCTAACTATGTCTATAACTAATCCCCCCCCCCAACATCCCTGGAGTTCAACAGGAGACAGATCTGGGTCATTTAATTAAAGGTTGCTTTTTAAATGGATGGACCTTTCACCTCCTGCAGTCAAGTGAACAACAGTTACAGAAGAGAGGAGCCACCAATTTATCTAAGTGATCGGTTGTGGTGGCACTCTAACGCTATCTCTAGATTTCCCAAAGCAAGATCTTTGACTTCCTTGAAGCCAAAGTAATATTACTTAACGGACAAGGGCCGTTTGAGCGGCAGACAGTAGCAGCCAGGTGGTAAATCTTTCAGTCCCACATCTCCATCCAATAATATTTATGTAACACACTCATTGTGCTAATACTGAGTGATTTCTAAGTGCCCAAGCAGTCTCCCCCCCCCCTTTTACAGCGTTTGAGTGTCTCTGCATACTTCACAGTGGCCCCATAAACTTTTTAAAAAATGCATTCAAGTTTCAGGCTTGGCGCAAAACTTCATACTCTTTCAGTGAGTTTTTATATTAGGCAATTTCTCTGCCAGGCTTCTGTGTTCGTCCTATCACTTCTGGTGGAAGCAAACCAGGGCTTAGTTCTAGGTCCCACACAATTCTGAGTTTTGGTTCTGCCCTCTTAAAGAAGGTGAGAGAAAATACCCCAACTTCAGTTCACTTAACTTTGCTAAACTATTCCTTGGGGGAGATTGCTCCTGCAGCTTCAGAACTTATTGACACAACAGGAGAGATTAAAGATCATTTTCATGCACGAAACATCAATCAGATTTTCCTTAAAACTTGACTGTGGTGTGGTTAAAAGGTACCAATCTTGAGAGCAAACTGTCATAGTCTTGCCTTCCCAATAAGAATCATTGTCAAAGAAGGCCAAGATAGGCTTAGATCCTTCTTTTTTCTTGAAGAGAAAAGGGTGTTTTTTAAAAGATCGTGCACATGAAAACAGCACAAGCAAGAACTTCGTTTTACAAACAATGTTGGGCGCTTAGCTTTTCCTACAGAAGGAAAGAAGTCCTGATATTGGGGGAAAAGGTCTCCAGAGCATTACTCACCACTAGAGGAATGGAGCAAATCAGCACAACCAAGGATGTGGCAATGAGCAAAATAACCATCTGGATCTCTGCCCCGGCCATGCGTCGGAAGCTCCTGCGCCGGCGAAAGTCTGACAAGCGGCTGGAGGCGGTGTCCGTCCCCAAGGAGGTGCGCCGCATGAACTGGCGGTGCATGCGGATGAGAGCCATGCAAACCAAGACGTTGGAGACCACGGTGACCATGATCAAGAAGGAGCTGAAGCCGGCGTACATGTACGAGTAAGCGGCATAGGTGGACACGTTTGTCCGCCAGTCTATGAAGCACCACGTCTTGGGGTACTGCAGGGTGGTTTTGCCCAGCCCCATGCTGGGCAAAGCACAGAAGAGGACATTGGAGACGTAGATGGCAAAGAGGGTCAGCCCGGCCAGCTTCTTATCCACGTAATGGTTATAGAAGTACGCGTGGTTGATGGCCAGGTACCTCTCAATCGACATGGCGCAGATGATGCTGAGTCCAGAGAGCCCGAAGAAGAGCAGGATGAAGGAGCTGTATTCACACAGCTGGTCCCCCCCGGGCCACTTATTCTGCAGGTAGGTGACGATGGTGACCGGGCTGACCAAGCAGGTGCCCAGGAGGTCGGTGACCGCCAAGCCGCACACCAGCGTGTAGAAAGTCGTCTCCTTCTGCTCCTTCCGGGATTTGCAGAGCACGACGATGGCGATCAAGTTGCCCACCACCCCGAAGATGAACATGATCGTGGGAATGGTCGGGGCTCGGCCGCTCTCGGCAGCCCCGCCGGCGGTCTCGTTGGAGGAGCCGTTGGCAGAAGGGATCATGGTGTGGTTGAAAGAATTGATGAGGGGTCGGTCGCCCGGGGGTGTGTGTGTGTGTGTGTGTGTGTGTGGCGGCGGTGATTTTCTTTTTCAAGACGGAAAGTCACAAGTGCGAACGAGCGTCCAAAGGGCAGAGGATCTGCTACGCATCTGAAGGGAAGAGATCTTGTATTTCAAAGGTAGATCTCGACCGGGATGGGGCGGGGGAGCTAGGCTTTTTCTTTAAAAAAAATTAGTGGGGGGGGGAACTCAATAAAAACAAAAATTCTCAGCCTCCCCCCCACGCACACACTTCATACAAATCTGCCACTCAGAAGGCGGCGCCTGTTCTTTCCCGACACGCAGGGTGGCTTTCCCGACTTCCTCCTGGCGAGTTCTTCTTTCCCCCCAAACTCGGTCTTTGCGCTTTTCGAAATCAGGCGTGCAAACCGATCCCGCCTCTTGTCACAACTGGCTTTTCCAGCCTCCCCTTTCTAGTAAAAGCTGCCCTCTCTTCCTCCCCCCGGGTCGCTGCGATACAAGCAACTTAAAAAAAATAAAAAATATTTCCACCACGTGTTTGTGCGCTGCACGGCGGTCCCCAATGTAAAAGATCAATGGCAAGTAATTCCCCCCCCCCACTCCTTTCTGGAGAGCTGTCGATCAGATCCTCTTCGGCAGATAAGCGGTAGCGCGGCGACGATGCAACTCTGTCGATCAGAGCTTTTCAGCGCTCCCGGGTGCTTCGATCGGAGGGTCTAGCGGTCTCTGGCTCACAGCGCCTTCCGAGGAACGCGGGCTGCCTTTTGCAATCCAAGCTGGGACGCGGGAGAAGCCAAGAGGCGCTCGGGTCCGGCGCATCTCCTCTCTCCGGACCATGTGCTCCTACCCGCCCAGTCTTGCTCAACTCACTCGCCGACCGCTCGCAAATTCGCCCCCTTCAAGTTTCTCCAGCCTGGGAGGCAGCTCGACTGGGCTCCGCCCTTGGCCGCTCTCATTGGTCCCGGCGCGGGGGGACGAACCCGGCCGCTTCGGTGCGCCGCTTGCAAAAGCCTTCGGGTGACAGGAGCTCGCAGTCGAGCAGGAGGGAAGGCGGCGCGTGTAGAGCGGCAGGTGCGGTTTTCTAAAAATGTCTTACGTATACCGTTCCACGCTGGCCGTGAACATAGCATCATACAGGGTTACGCGTATTGATTTAGATATTTGTACCCCGCTTTTCTCCCGAGTAACAGCGTCCCGTGCGCCTCGGTGTTTAGTCATGCCGGCCACATGACCACGGAAACGTCTTCGGACAGCGCTGGCTCTTCGGCTTTGAAACGGAGATGAGCACCGCAACCCTAGAGTCGGATTCGACTGGCTTTCGAGCAAGGGAACCTTTACCTTTCTCCCGAGTGGGTTCCTAGAGAGGCTTGAATTAAGAAGCTCTGCCTCCATTGTCCCCGGTGGCTCCCTTTTAACCCGACAGATGAGAAACCCTCCAGCCTGTCGCGCCATACAAAACGGGAAGAAACATAAAAGCTGCCTGCTCCACGGGATCAAGTAGTTCCCTGAAATGCTAGCTTTCTACATTCAAGCGGCTGGAGTTGTTATTGGGGGGGAAGTGTGGAGCACTCAGACCTGCCAGCCTCCATCTGTAGGGTTGAAACAGTAGAGCCTTGGTGGGAAAGTTTATCACTTCACTCTGCTACATGCATAGGATCCAAGACTCACTACAGGAGGGCTCATTTGCTTCCAAGGGTTGTAGTGTATTCGGAACAAATATAATGCTGGAGATCTAGCAATAATGCTTACACTTTAAGTAGTAAACGCACCCTGCAGTCTTAACAACGCCTTGAGAACCAGTTTGATGTAGTGGTCAGCACTGGACCTTGAGAACCAGTTTGATGTAGTGGTCAGAGCACTGGACCCGGGGTGCAGATCCCCACTCTGCCATGGAAACTGGCTGGGTGACCTTGGGCCAGTCACGCACTCTCAGCCTCACCTACCTCACAGGCTTCTTGTGAGGATAAAACAGAGGAGAGGAAAATGTCCCTTTGGTGTCCCCCATTGGGGGGAAAGTGAGTTATAATTGAAATAAACTTTCCTGGGACTAAGGCCCACTGGATGGATCCAAGTAGGATTTGAGCAGACCTACTTAGGATGGCACTGGGAAAACAGGTCACGGATGCCAAACAATTATGAAGACTGCTCCTTAATTTACACAGCAGTGTCATGTTGCAGGTGACAAAATAAGGTGTTATATTAATACAAAACAACTTCCCCGTCATAAACAAATCAGACTTGTTTGTAATTTGTTGCTTTTTGCAGGCCTCACATGGGTGTGATAGAACCAGAGTATGCACCTTTATATCCTGTTTGTTTCATAGCAGAGTGAAGCACTTGCTGAGACCTCTCCGGTTGAATTCACTGGGACTCAAAAGTCCTTAACTTTGGCTGGTTCAGGCCCCCAGGTTTGACACTAAAGGCAGCGCTGGGTTTGTTTCTTCACTGTCCGTAGCGCTTTTCCTGCATGTTACAGAGGGGTCTGCTGACATAGGAGACATCCAGAATGGTGTTGTGGTTAGAGTGTTGGTCTAGGATCTTGGAGATCCAAATTAAAATCCCCAGTTGGGTATGGAAGGTCCACATGTTTTGCACCCACTAAATAATACACTTTCAATCCACTTTCAATGCATTTTGCAACTGAGGGTGATTCGGCATCTAGCATTTGCTCCACATTTTCTCAACTGGGAGGAAAAAGTGCAGCTCAAAAAACCACATTCAGATACCCTGGGACAACACCGTATTGACTGCAAAGTCACCCTTGAGCGGCCATAAAACAGCCATAAATCTATGCAGAAGGTACCATAAAATCCGATGATCAAAGAAAGCAAAAGTGGCACGGAGTGTGGAGGGTACCAGAAAACCCGATGATCAAAGGAAGTGAAAGCAGCATGCAATGCAGAGGGGAATTTCTGTTGCAACGTGGGTTTCGTAAAACAACGGAGGGAAAAGCCAGTGCAGAATCAGCCTGAATTTTACTGTGTGAAATGGAAAAATCTGCTTGCAAACAGTCACTGAAGAAGAGAAGAAGAAGAAAAGAGATTGGATTTATACCCCACCCTTCACTCGGAGTCTCAGAGCGGCTTACAAACTCCTTTCCCTTCTCCTCCCCACAGCAGACACCCCACAGTGTGAGGTAGGTGGGGCTGAGACAGCTCTGACAGAAACTGAAGTGGATTGCAGTATTTAGCATGTGTGAAAGCACCTCCACGGCCCTGTCATTTTCTCTCCCTTTTTCTGTCTAACCAATCAAACAGGGTGGTGGTGGTGGTCAATGTTCCCTCTAAGGTGTGGAGTTTTGTGAGCAAAAATTCTACTTTATGAGCTACTGGCATTAAAGTTGTGAGCCAGCAATTTGGCGAGTGCATAAATTACTTTGCTCTGGAGCCCTCCTTCCCGAGCGAAGACAAAAATGTGTGAGCTGGAGGCTAAAAAACTGTGAGCGGGCTCACACTAACTCAGCTTAGAGGGAACACTGGTGGTGGTGTGTGTGTGTGTAAGGCAGGAGGGGAGAACAGTGTTAGAAGATGCTTTGGGTCCCAACTGAGGAGAAAAGGGGAGTATAAGTAAAATATGCAAATCTTGAACACAGTGCAGTTCCAACTCTTGCAGATATGTCTGGGCTATCTAGGGTTATAGCCTTAGTTGTTTTAACCCCTGGGCTTCTCCCTGCATTTTCCAGCTGAATAGCATACAGAATTGCACGAGGGTGCAGCTTTCCCCAGTTTGGAATTACCGCCCTGGCACCTCAGCCTGCTCATCCGCCTTGAACAGAAGCCTAGAATGCAGAAGTGTAGCGAAAGAAGCCTTCATTATATCTCTATGCCAGAAAACCTTTGTCTGGTTGCTGTATGCCAGAGTGCTGTGAAACTCTGGTATTACCGTTACAAACTCTGGCTTGGGAAATTCCTGGAGATTTGGGGGCGCTGACGGGGTGGCAGCATTTGGGGAGGGGACTGGAGCTCAGCGGGGATGTCATCCCACTCTCCAAAGCTGCCATTCTCTCCAGGGGTCAGTAAACAAAAAGAACTGTGTACCCACACTGAATATAAAATCCAAGTATTCTTATTATTCAAGCAGATTAATGCATACTGTAATACTGTGTGCACATAAGGACTGTACCATACAGATAAATACACAGAATATCTTCTTCAAAAGATGTACAGAAGTGTGAGTGTAGTAGTTCCAAATCACACTATTAGGAACAACTCCTTTAGGTGTTCAAATTAAGTTCACAAAAAATTATTTTGCCATACAGATCTTCCTTCTTTCTCTGATGTGAATGCTAGCTTACTCCAGACACGTTTCTCATTTCCCCCCCTCAAAGAACAGATCTGATTAAATTTTGTTCCGGGTGGATACTCTTACAATTCCAGTTGGGACACTGTCCTCTGAAGTGGCTTGTGCTGAAAAGATGAAAAGTCAAAGAAACCACACTGACTAAGCCCAGTCCTTGCGCGGTTTCTAGCACTGGACAAGCCAGTCTGCTGGACCAGAAAACAGTACAGTACATCTAGACCAGAAAACAGGAGGGCGATATGGAGGGAATCGATCTCCCCCACTTTTATGTTAGACCCTTCATGATAATGCAGGAAGAATGAAGTGAACTAATGAATCACAAGGCGGCTGTTGGTGCAGCCAAAGGCAAGTTGGAGTAGCCCTAAGCAGGTCTACTCAGAAACAAGCCTCATTTTATTCACAGGGGTTTACTCCCAGGTAGAGATGTGAAGGGCCAGAAAAAAAACTGGAAAAATTCGGGGGGAAACTTTCCCCCCCGTTTTTTTCCTGTAGCCTTTTTTGTTTTGTTTTTCTGAAAAATTGGGGGGGGGAAGAAAAAGAAAGAAAAGATAAAAAATTGATCATGGAACGTTTTATTTTAACATGATGAATAAAATATTTTAAGACAAGGTGTTCAAATATATATCAGATTGATCTAATTTCTGTGCTCTGAGGACAAGCAAGTCCTAGGTTACAAACTGAACTCTCCAATGCAAGAACAAGATGCAAGAACAAGAACCTTTAGGAGGTGCTATTGTCAGAAGAAAATAAAAAGGTTTCAGTTTTGTTTTTGCATGTGGGTGGGTATTCTGTTTGTAATAATTGTTTGGATACACTATATATTTAATATGCTAGTTGTGATAATTTCATGCCAAGTAAAAATGTCCATAGTCATATTTTATGTTCCTAAAGTAACAGAATGAC